TTGAATCTGTCCTCAAACTCCTACCCAAGCTTGGACAGGAGGTCACAATACCAAAACATCAATTCTGCACATGCATGGTTACCAACATCTATACAACTGAGGGGAAGTGCTGCAGTCTTTTATTTTTCACTTGTTGAAGTTAAAATTACAGTTTTGCTTTAAAAGCTTTGACAACATATCATGTTTTTTTGTGCATCGTAAATGTAGGTGCAGGTGATTCAGTTTCTCTTTCAAATCTGTCACATAGCCCCCTCCTTTGATTCCATAAAAGCCTGATTTCCTTCAGCAAGGAAAAAAAGCGCTGTAGTATCTTACCCCTGTCAGCCATCTGACATCTGTGTGGTGGAGATCAACATACTCAGCAGACAATTCCTCAAGAAACAGTTTGAAGCCTCTGTGTTGTTTGGCTTTTGCTCGAATGGAGTTGATCATCTTAACAACAGGTGTCATAACATGACCAACTCCCATAACTGTTGCGCATATAGCCTGCTGATGAATGATGCAGTGATTTAGTAAAGTCTGGGTCTGCCTTGCAATTTGCAATAAATCCTACGTGGCGCCCTATCATAGCTGGGGCTCCGTCTGTTATAGACACCAGCTTTTTAATGGTCATGTTTTTTTCTCTCCATAAAGTAGTTGCAATACATTGTAGTGGTTTTCAGAGGAAGCAATGTAAAAAACTCTTCTTTGGTGGAAAAGTCAAAAGTCGGTATCACTTAAGTCCACCGACTCATCACATTGGATTGAAAACCATTTGCACCTAGTCATGTCCCGTTCCAACTGCACCATTGCATCTGCAGAAAGCCCAGTGACTCCCAGTGACAAAGAGGGGATGGGGACTTTAATCATTCTGTCACCAAAGCAATGTACGTTCGGCATGAAAGCCATTGGACTTGTAAAGTATGGCACGTTGGTGCCATACTTACATACATAACTCTGTAGTGTGTTTGTAATGTGTATTCACAATGTTATTAGAATCATCACCATGGTAGCAGAATCATCCATACCCGGAAAACAATGCCATTTGAATGAATTATGTGGGTGTGCATGTAAACCTGTTGGTTTACATGCACAAATGGCGTTGTGTCCTGGGATGGATGATTCTACTACCATGGTGATGATTCTAATACAATTGTGATAACACATTACAAACACAAAGTGGCGCTCTCAACGTTGCATATTTTACCGACTGAAACGCTAGTACCGCAGATGAGGCACACACTTGTCCATTACGTTTGTAAATAAAACTTACATTCCCATTCCTCATAGTATGTTTTCTGCTTTTTCTTGGCCTAGCCACTTTCTTTGATCATCATACATCTGGCTATTTTATAATAGACTCCTTGCTTTATCGTAGTAGCTAGCTACCTCAGTAGCTAGCCTACAGCGTAACTGACATGACAACGTGTTGACAAACTTGACAGTAGTGTAACTTATTTGATTGACAGCTGATATAATTTTGTGTTGGAGGCTGGTGGGACATCTGTGTATTTGATTGGATTGAAATGGGAAGAGGTTTCCAGGGTGCATCCAGGTAGCTTGTGAGTGACGTGTTGGAGACCCCTGCTCTAAACTAATGCACAACATGTCCTAAACCTCACATCAGTTGGCCAGGTTTCCGTGAGCTAAAATAACCTTAACAAGCAGTTAACAAGACAGCAAAAATAAAGAGCATCAAAATACCAAACAATAAATCTTCCCCGAAAGTATGTCCTCACATCTGCTGGTCCACTGACACGGGGATACTAGCTTACAAACGCATGTGAAATTCAAGGATGCAGTAGCTAAATATGAAATAATAGAAAAAAAAGTTTTTCAGCAAATACTTTTGCAAATATCTACAACAAGATTGAGCTAACCAATAATTTTTGTGTAGATATGTGCTGTATTTATTCAGTTCAGGAAATCTCACGTAGTCTATAAAGTAGGCTGATGAGACTACGTTTAGAAAGCTTTTCCATTGCCAGGTCGTTACTAATATATCTATTTACTAGAATAATAAGGTAATGGATTCCATAGGAATCTCATGTTAACTGATTGCGTTTCAGGCATTAGTCAGACACATATATTTCTATGGTCGGATCACTTGCATTTCCAGGAACACAACAAATAGTGTAAGCTAAAAGTTTAACATTTAAGTGGCCATGGTATAAACGGGAAAGGACTCAGTTACTGAAAAATAATGCACAACGTGGAAGCTAAGAAAATCATTTTGTGCATTATTTGTCGTCAAATATTATCACGTTTTCGTGGTTGATCCCTTACTGAGTACATTACTATAGGTTACATGGCAAGTGATATACAATTGCAAAAACCTGTGCTTTGACAAAGAGTGTTGCACACCAAGCACCTGTGTCAACTCGAAACAGATATTCTCAAAGCGCATTTCACTCACTAGCTGATGGATGTCTATGCCATTTCCAACAAATTACACTTAAATTCTAGCTCTTGAATCTTACCAATAGCACCTTTACGTATATTTAAAATGTGTTGCCGAATGAACATTTTACCAATAGGCAAAAATAAAAATGATCTTGGCCTCTCATTCTATTCTCGTGGCGTGAGTCAGCAGCATATTGCACTTGTGCACATGGTTCCATTTGTCTAATGATGACAATGCGGTGGGCCAGGTTGGTCTGGTTCCCAGGATTTAGCGGGGTCCGGTGAGAACGATAGCGGAGTGATGTGTGTGCGTGTGTGTGGGGGGCGCTGTGAAACCCCTCTCTTTCGCTGACAGACACACACAATGGAGACCAGAGATGTTCCAGCTGGTGATTGCAGTACAGTCAGCTGACTGGACAGTGGGGAGAGGAGAGCTATAGACGTATGCCGAGATACAATGGGGTGGATGGGGAGGTTTCCAAAGACAATGAAATGATAGATGAAAGGAAAGGAAAGGAAAACCAAACATCTGAAACGCCAACACATGATCTCATCGGGCTCAGAGTGGCTTTAATCCACATGTACAGTACAGCCAATATGTGAAACCTCCTTTGTCCGGGTATAGTTTCTACGTCGCACTGACGAATTAGCGGGGTTTTTTTTAATTGTGAATTAAAGTTTTTCTTGTATCACTAAGCAATGTCAACTAAGACACAAAATAAATTGTTGCAAAAAATGTGATTAGCTGCAGTAGCAACTCTGACTGCTCCATCATGCACAAATAATTTTAAAATAATTATGATTATAATTATTATTCCACTTTATTCAAATTGGTTTTAAATTGGTATGTTAGCTTTTGCAAATATGTGTCAACATTATTTCCAGACATTATAATAATGAATACAACGGTACAATCTGTGATAACAATACCAAATGTATTGATAATCAATGCCCAATTCTTGTTTAGAAAACCCCCATTATTAGTTTGTTTCTGGAGCCAAGCATCTGGATTTTTACTTAACTGCAACAAAGAACTTTCTTTATTTCATTCTTTAGCCCTAAATAGGACCTTATCTGCATTCGCCTGTAAATCCTGTCATTGGTTTCTGTGAAAAACATGGAGGAAGAACAAGGGAGCATCTGCCACTACCACCACTGTGTTCCTCCCAGATGAATGCTGGGATACAGGAGTTGTCAACTATAATCGAAAACATGTTGTTGTTTTTTTAACCCTTTTACATTAAAGTATGATTCATTTTGTTCCTCCAAATCTAACAGAGGCAACCATAACACGATACCAGTACTTTTCCCTACTTCCTTCTCAATCCCATTTAAACCGACTTGTCTAGTGTGTGTACTTGCCCATCAGATTGCTTCAAGCGATGCACATGAAATAGGATATAAGCTCACACAGTCTCCTGTGGTAGCCTACACTCTGGTCTACAAGAAGAGAATACTGTACGGTCCAACCTGTGGAAAATAGACGACCCAACTGAACTCTCTTTATTTCCCCCACTGCTTCGGAGGGATATACTGTTGTATCAAACAAGGCATTCAGAGTATATTAGCTGCATCTCACATAGTTTAGGAGAATAACTGTGTGTGTATGTGTGTGTGCCTGCGTGCGTGCAAGGTAATTCACCGTAAGAAGGAATTTGGTTGCTCTATTATAGTGGAGCAACCAAAGACTTCATAAACTTTGGCCAAATCACCGCACCAGTATGCAATGGATTTCATCAATGTGTACAGCAACACTATTCCTCACTAGATGTTGAAGTGCTGTTAACTGTGAGAAACCCTGTGGAAATGATGTCCACAAAAATGTCAACTCAGACAGATTACCTGTTCCTTGCTGTAGCTGGAGGTACTCCCAACAACACACTAGAAGATAACAAATGAGCCTGAATTGCTTTGGCTCCAGGCTGTTCCACTACTACAACCAAATTCAGTAGACCATTTGCAAATACACTTTTTTGGTGAGTGAAGACCTTGAGAACTGGATGTGTGTGTGTGTGTGTGTGTGTGTGTGTGTGTGTGTGTGTGTGTGTGTGTGTGTGTTTCAGGTGTTTTACCCCGGTCTACAGATGTTAATGGACATTGAATGTTAATGAGCAGCGGCCGAGGTGCTGGGTGAACCTAGCAGTGGTGGTGCACTGGTAGTTAATTTAAGCTTGAGAGCAATCGCACTACACACCCACCTCCACTCCAGCCCCCCCCCAACCCCCAAACCTAATGAGGTTTCTCCATGGTCACGTTGGGCGAGGGAGCGGTCAGAGACACGGAGCATCCCCGAGGCTGTCTGGTCTGGGAGCCCACAGCAGAGGAGACATATAGAGGGCTTATAGGGCTGAACTTTCTTCATTGACACCCATCAACCGTAAATACCTCTGTGCCGCTCCGAATTAATAACGAGGCAAAAAAAATAAAAATAAATATGAATCCAAAATCTAACCTCTTTGCTGCTCCCCCCCCCCCCCCTCCCCTTTCCCAATCCGATGTGCCTCAACTGCTTGTCTTGTCTTTGCTTCACATATGCGAGTTATGAAATTCAGTTATGAAAATCAGATTGCAATGGTTCCAAGCAGCGCTGCCTGCAATGAGAACAATAGAGTGATTGTGATCCTGTGGAGCTCAACTGGTAGAGCATGGCATTTGAAGTACCAGGGTTAGGGGTTTGATTCCCATTGGAATCACCCATAAAAACATCCACCAAATGACATAGTAAACAAATGTTGGTGTACTGTATCGTCCATAATACTTAAAAGATGACCTGGTCAATCATTTTTTTTAAATAATTGTTTTAATAAAAATAAAACAGATTTAGTTTCATATTGAAAACAAGAGCAAATAATGTGATTGTGTGCAATTAAAGAAGGTTTTCAACAAAGAGTATAACAAGAGTATATCCCTGTGAGCAACAGTGCACACTGGTCAGGTCATTTCCATTATCTAAATTTACAGCAGTGTTTGTGTTGTATTGGTGTCTCGTTTCTAATGAGGCACACGTCTTGCTGCTGTGCTGTAAGGCCTAGTTGCACATTATTTCAGATGCCAAAGAATGTTTCTCAAATTGTTGTTGGGCTGTGTAATCATGGGAGTTATGTGTTTTGGATGTGTTGATATAATTGGTAGGTTATAAATTGCAGCTTGGTATTCATCCAGCTCTCTCATCTAGTCTCTCTGTCTCTCTCTTTCTCTATTTCTCTCTGAGCCAGTAGTTTCACAACCACTATGTTATCTCTGCACACACCTAGACACATCAAATTACTGCTTTGTCTTTTAAATAAATACAAAACACCCATGGCATTTCCCAGATCATGTACAGAGCAACACAGGCAGACATTCTGTAATAGAATAAATAGACCTTCATGGTTGAAAATAGCCACTAATCAGCAAAATGTGGCGGGTTTACCAGCGTGTAGAGTAGCCTAGGACTCGATGTTTCATTTAGTTTATGGTTAAAGGTTAAAAAATAATATATAAAGTTATTTTGCATGCAAGTATTTTATGATAGGCCTACTTAAATCAATGGGGATTTACAGCCATCTTATTTTATTTTTTTTAACAAACATGATTATAGACAATTATAACTTAAATATAATATATAAAAATATAAATTATAGCAAAAATTAAAGCTGTTCACTGCAACAGACCGATTCCGCAACAGACCCATTGGTCCGCCAGTACTAGGGATGGGATGATGAACATTTCATGTCACGGGTATTGTGACCACAGATATCACGGTTTTCGGTATCATTATGGTATTGATCAAATGTGTTCAAAATGTTGTGTGTTCAAAAGTGCTAATAAACACTGAAATAATTTCACCAAAGGTATTATATTGAATGCAAACATTTTTATTTAAAATAAATCACGATAAATTAACCACAAATAAAATAATACAATTATCAGAAGCATTGTGTCCATCATGCGTCTCCAAGGTGTCCAGCGGACCATAGACATCTTATACATAGACGGAGCATCGAGCGCTACTGCCTACTGGCGCTGACGAGACGCGGGGCCGCCATCTTGGAGTGGTGATCCGCTCCACTCAGTGTCATTCGTCAGCGCATATAATTAATCATACCTCACTGAATACCACTGATTTTCACGCGTTTTTTTGTCATACGTGTAGCTATGATAAAGGACACATGTTTTGGCGTGTAATATTATTTTCACAAAATATAACCAATAGTACGGTATAATGTTAAATCTTACTTGTGAAATGTAATCCCGCGATATCTATTTTCGACCGTCCGCTCATTTGAGCAGGAATACGCTGAACAGCAGCTCGGCATCCTTGTTTTCTTCTCCTGGCCATACGTGTCAACTGTCAATCTATGCCCCTCCCCACCCCCATCACCACTCCAAGATGGCCGCCGAATTTCTCGCGCCACAGCAGCCAATGCTCCGTCTATGTATAAGATGTCTATGCAGCGGACCACTTGTTCAGATTTCGTTACTGCCTACGTCACTTCGTTGCTAGCCTGCGCACAGTTATTACGTCAGTCTGTTGCCAGACAAGCGCCAGATGTAGTTAGCCGTGTTTCACACAGCTAACTACTAACTAACTCAACTAACTAAATAAGAAAGTAATAAGAAAACCAAAATGTTTCAAGAACTAATATACATGTACGGGCTATTCCAACTGTTGACATTGACAGGATAAAGTAATCTGCGATGGCAGACAACCTGCATTAAAGATATGTGGTCTTATGTGTCCCAGACCACCTCGGCAAGTGGTTTGAGTGATCGGATCACAATGTGTCTTGGTGGTCGTTTAACACTTGTACTTAGCGCTGTCCACTTGTGAGCTGATTGCCCAAGACACATGTTAATGCCAGGGGCCTCATGTACAAAGCTTGCTTACGCACAAAAAAGCTGCGTAAGCCACTTCTCACGCAAACGTTCGGATGTACAAAGACTGACTTGACGTGAAAAAGTGCGGTTCTCCACGCAAACTAAATGCCTTGCTTACGCACATTTCTGCTGCATTTTGTCAGTTGGCGGCACATAGAGGCAATGCAGCGCAACAACATTAGGCTACGCGATCACGAATCATGAAGTAATATTGCAGTATGGGGCTAGTAAAAAGTGGATTTGTACGTCGGGCTGCACTTCAATCATGCGTTATTGTTGTCGAGAGGCATAATGTGACACTGTTGTAGATATTAGGCTAAACTTAAACAGACACATACAATTAAATTGTCAATATTGGAATTAAAAGTAAATTAAAAGGAAGCCCAAGCTATATTATTTTCAGTGACGACTTGTTTATTAAACGTTACATATTTTCAGGGCCACGCATGACATCTGGCCTAATGGATCTCTCTCCACGCATTTGTCGTGAAATTCTTGACTGCAATATCATTATTTGATGTTGCGTGGAGTAAGCACAAGCCATTGTTACTTAAAATCAATTCATCAATGAACCAGTCGGACAATTTCTAATTATGTACATTATTGACACCTTGGGTGTATGGGGACAACCTATCGTCAGCATGCATCCAAATTAATGAGAATATAAAAGCACGCGCAAAATGTTGCAATAATCGAGAGGTTGACAATGGCAGTCTTGGCCTTGTTAGAAGATATTGCGAATGGTCGCATTCGAAATGAACGGGTGTCACGATGATGACTGGCTTATCAGCCGATTCAGATTTCCAAAAGCTATATCCTCTTTTTTGCAGAGATAGCCGGTTTTCCCAATGTAATCGGAGCGATCGACTGCACACACATTGCAATAAAGGCGCCATCTGAAGGGGAATATGCGTAGGTGAATAGGAAACACTTTCATTCCTTAAACGTGCAAATGTGATGCCCAAATGCGCCTTACGAATATCGTGGCAAGGTGGCCTGGGTCAACCCATGATTCATTCGTCCTGACTAACAGCTCGGTTGGGAATAGGTTGGAGCCTGGCAGTGTGTGATGGGTGGCTAATTGGTAAAACACTTTAAAGCGAATTGACTTAAATCTATGTTGGGTAGCCTATGCTGTAATTGTACCAATTCCCCCTTACGACCATGACTGTTAACCCCCCTCGCCAACCCACTGACTGTCCGAGAGTAGAGATATAACAATATCCATGCACGCACTCGGTCAGTCGTGGAAAGAGCGATAGGGCAGCTCAAAAGCCGGTGGCGCTGCCTTGACCGGAGCGGGGGGATGCTGCTCTATCACCCTGAAAAGGTGTGCCGCATTGTGCAGGCATGTGGGGTTCTGCACAATATTGCGCACAGGCACGGCGTGCCATTACGCGAGGTAATGGCCCTCCCAGACGATCCAGACCCCGGACCAAACAATGCGCAGCCCAATCGAACTCGGCAGCAGTTAGCAAGAATATAAAAAAGGTAAACGGAGACAACATTCATTTTTTAACTAGTTCTTTTAATGTTTCATTAATGTCTTTTAAGGCCCCAGTTATTTGTTGCAGGTTGGAATTAATATCATTAATGCCCTTGATTCTCTTCCTTTCTCCATTATCTCCTTTCTCCTAACAAGCGCACTACTGCAGCCCTATTTATACTAATTAGCATATTAAATGAGGGAGGAGACAGGGCGGAGAGTCGGGCTCGTGCATGTGCGCTCAATTTCACGTCAATTGGGATGTACAAAGAGAATCTGCGCGAAATTGTGCTTACGCAAGGATTGATACATCCGGATTTATTTGTGCGCAGCAGCTTTCCAGATTTTGGCGTCCGCAAAGTTTTAGTAAGAAATCCACGCAAGTCTTAGTACATGAGGCCCCAGGTGTCTTTATAGCCGGTGAGTCTGTAGGTGAGTGATGGCAGCACTATTACTCACCTCCTTCAGCCAGTTTTGGAAAAAAAACTAGCGTAGCACGTTCAGCTAGCAACATGGCACGCTGCGCCTGTGTGACTCGTATGGCTAGTGGCTATGTAAATTACAAAGAAGTGATAACAAAACCACGGGAAATGAGATAATGAAAATTTGACACGATATGATAACGGTCAGAAATTGTATAACGCTATATCTTTAAAAAAAAACGGTAACGTCCCATCCCTAGCCAGTACTTACTGAGTGTCGATTGCCCAATCACATGGCTGCACGCTGCAACCCGCGCTCATTTGCATAAAGTTAACTGAAGTTCATCCCATAATCCTTTGCGCCATGCGTTAACGCGTCCAATACAAATGCGCCATGTGATCGTTGGCCAGTCGACGTACCCAGAGCTATAGAGAAAACAGGAGCTATGGATGTAGCCGTGTTCTAGGGCCAGAACACGATAACTTACCTAATTAGTATGCAAGAATTCGCTCCCTGATTGGTTCGATCCTTGAAGCATGCTAATTCCGTTTCCTACAGTCATAGCGTAGCCGGGACATTAACCTAACCCTAACCATAACCCTAACCATAACCTAACCATAACCCTAACCCTAACCTAACCCTAACCCTAACCATAACCCTAACCATAACCATAACCCTAACCATAACCCTAACCATAACCTAACCATAACCCTAACCATAACCCTAACCCTAACCATAACCCTAATCATTAAAACGCAACCTGAATCATTAAAACGTTAACAAACATTTAAAAAAGCCATCACAAACAATTTCCCGCTCTCAAGAAGGCATTGAGACCGGCGACGAAACGCGCAGGCGCATCATGAGAACCAATGAAGAAGCCCGATTCTTAGCGTGTTCTGGGTACCGTGTTCTCGGTGTCTG